ACGTCTGGGTCGGGCCCCTCTCGCGCAGCACCTCGAACTGATTATCCTCTTCGTCCTGAGACTCGAGGCTGGTTGCCTCCAGCGCCCGCGCCCGCGCCTGCGCCTGGGTGCCCTCCGCGGGCCCGGCCCGCTGCGGCTCGATCGCAGGCTGCCGCTCTCGGCGCTGGGGGCGCATCCGCTCACGCTACCATGCATGATTATTCTCTCCAAAGCGCTCGAGCCGAAACAGTATCGGCCCGTTCCAACATGTCTCTCGGGAGGCTGCAAATCTATCCAGTGTCGGTTGTGGTTGGCGAAGGAGATAACCATGCCCGACCTGGCTGATTGTTTCGTTTGTTTCCTCAGGTCCTCACAGAGGACCCTTCGGAAGAAACTCCGCGGGGATCGCGCAGAATTCTTGAGAGAGACAGCCGATGCGATCAAAGACGCTTCTGCCACTGGGGATGGATATTGGTCAAATGTCTGTTGGCCTTCGGTGGAGTCAAGGGGAGAGGTAACTCGGGGGTCCTTCCTCTTCGATACGACGCCAATGGTATGCCTTTCGACTCCCGCGAGGCGTTGGCCTTAGGCCTGCTGCAGCACTTTGCCAAGACTGAGAAGGCCTCCGCGTGTTCAGTGAAGGAACTTGTAAGCGAGTACAACCGTCAGCAGCAGCTTTAAAGTTCCGTAGGGCTCAGGGACTTGAGTGATATCATGTCGTTGGATGCCGCGAGAATGGCCATCTTCAATGCCTCTCGCAGGCGTGCGGGAGGACCTGGCATCGTCACCAGTGGCTTGGATAAAGCTATCCCGGAGGTTAGCTCGCGTATGATTACGCCGCTGATGGTCAAGGTCCAGATGATGCGTAGGGAACCTCTGGCTTGGAAAGGAGGTGTGGCCCATGATCTGTTCAGACAAGGAGACCCGAGGTTTTTGTCCAACTTCCGCGAGATTTTCCCTGGGGTCCACGTGTGTAAGCATCACCGCAAGTTTTTGCGCAACAGAATTCTGGAAGTTGCCTCTGTGTTGATGGACGCCGACCAACGCGGAGGCAGGCCTGGTCGGGGGACTGCTGGTGCGTCTCTTCAGGTTCGAGTTTTCCAGGACTTTGTGAATCGCCATGGCTTTTTCTGCCGTGCTCTATTTCACGGATTTGCGCGCTGCTTTCCACGCCGTCGTTAGGGAGTTTCTCGTGAGACTGCCTGAGGCGGAAGGGGATCTGGAAACAGCCATCGACGAGTTGTAGCTCCCTCTTGCCTTAGAGGGTGCAATGCGTAGCACCCTGGCGGAGCCGACGACTTTTGAGAAAGTTGTCAGCGTAGTTCCAGGTCAAAGGTACGTCAGAGGCAGCTAAAGCCACCGCAGGGGCGCGGCCAGGCACGCCGCCAGCAGATTTGCTTTTCACGTTATCTTTTGCACCCGTGCACGAGAGGCTGCGAGGACGTTTCTTTGCCGAAGGGCTCGCGCTGGATGCCAGAGATTTCGGAGTCGACCCCGCGTGTGCCTTTCGTCCTGAGGGTGGCCAGCAGGACGCCCTGACAGGATCGCCTTCGTATGTCGATGACCTTGCTGTGTTGCAAGCTGCCAAGACGGCGCACGAGGCCATCAGGCTGGCCCAAGTCGTAGTTGGGATAGTGGATGACGAGATGAGAGTGAGGGGATTCAGTGTGAATTACGGGGAGGGAATGTCGACGCTCCTCATTTGCCCGACTGGTTATGGCAAGCGCGGCGTTGCCAGGGACCTGGGGGCCATGAAAAGCAAATTTTGGGTTCCCCACATCAGGCAGCACGTGCACATGACGCGCGCGTGCAAGCACTTAGGTTCTATGGTTCACGATGGGGGAAGCATGACTGCTGAGTTAATGCATCGGCACAGGTCTCAGCTTAGTGTCTCGGGTGGCCTTCGGAAGGCTGTCTTCAAGAAAAACAGCGACCTGGAGCTTTGTCCCAAGTTTAAATTCGCCGCGGCCTGTTGTCGCAGTCGCGTTATGTTCCACGGGGCCGTGCGGGCGCCGTTGTCTATAAGCAATCAATCCTTTCTCGAGTCTGCGTGCCTGACATCCTTGCGTGCTGCCATGCGGTATAAGGTGCAGGGAAATGAGTTTAGCGCATGGTCCAATGACGAGGTATGTGTTGCTAGCAGGCGTTTGTCTCCGCTTACGGTGCTCAGGCTTAGGCGTTTGAGGTTCCTCCAGAGGCTCGTAGGTTTTGTTTCCAATGGTTTGCTTTTCATGCTTGATTGTATGATCGATGCGAAAGGGAGTTGGGCTGAGCTCATGCAGGAGGATGTGTTGTGGATGTATGATCGCGTCTCGATTCCTGGACCCTGGAATCCCGTGGGTGGATTCTCTTGGTGGGTGTCTGTGGCTCGGAGCGATGCGAAACAATGGATCTCTTGGTGCAGGGAGGCCGAGCGTAGAGCACAGGCGGAGGAGCTTGCACTGGCGGAGGTCGGCATATGGCGAGCAGAGCTTTTTAAGATCTGCAAGAAGGGCAGGCTGAGGCCCCCTGACACTGTGCG